CTTTGTCTTTTCTCTCTCCTGCTTCCTCACTCCAGATTTCTCTGTTGTGCACAAATTGTCTGTATTCAATCTCTCGGGTGATGGAAAGTTATTCGGGACCCACCAGTCCCGACAGCGTCCAGACTTTGCTACTCCGCAATACGTTGCATGACTGGTTTAGAAAGCATACGTGGGTAGATTGGGATACTTTCAAGCAAGCCTTCTTGGCTCGATTCGATACGGTCAGTGAAGATGCCGACTGACACGTGCTAAAAAATCGGCCACAAAGACCAGAGGAATTGTTGCCCGATTTCGTCGATCGATTTTAAACCACGCTGGACAAATCCAGATGAGACGAGAAATCCGCTCGAGATTTGTTCATCGACCATCTACGAAGTTCGACATTGAAAGGCAAACTGCAGAAAAAAGGTCCCGCCAAAAACACACCAGTTATCGGCTATCATCGCTAAAACATTGGAACTGGACCTGGATGATACAAAAAAGTATATCATCCAGGGAGACGAAGACATTACAGATACCATACGAGATGTAACGGCTAAAAGGCGATCATGGCTGCAGACGGTTGAACGGTTTTATCCCCGCCCCGACAATGACCTTCCCGGCGGGATCGTTTCCGATATACTGCCTGCTTCTTCTTCCTCTCCCCCGATGAATCAATCGATCACAACCGTCAAAAACGAAATCTCACCAGAACCCCCCTCGCCGGCCATAACCAACTTACACCTTGGCCAGATAATCCATACGGCCACTACCAAACAGTCCGAATGGATGAGCAACCTGATCCAAATGCAGGCCGCTCACATGGAACGGATGAAACAAATAATGAGTAGGCTAATCAAGCCTAACCCGGCCTCTGCTCGGTCGGTCCTCGCATCATTTCCACTCTTACCTGCCCCGCCTGCTCCAGGGTACGCACCTCTGTTCCCTCACCTAATTCATCTGGCAGGAAAGATCGAGTGTTTTAACTGCAAACAGCCCGGACATCTCGCCCGAGACTACCCGCAGCCAAAACGTAGTCAGCCCCCACCTTCGGCGGCCCCCGTGGCCTTGAATCAGGGACGAGTGGCCGCTTTGATGGATACAGCCCAGGGAGGAGAGCTCGTGGCATATGCCCCAGAACAGCCTTCTCCCTCGACGACAATGGCATCGACATCAGGAACTTCTCCCTCTGACGCTGCGGACGTGGTCGATCCACTCGAATATCTTCATCTTGCAGGCATGGTCGGAGCAATCCGATCAGCCCTTGATGATCTCGAATGGGTCGATCGCGAATCCAATCCTGGTCCGCAGTTCCGAATAGGAAAGATTGACGTAGTACTACTAGCACTCAAACAACTGGATATTCGTGTTCCGATCCCGGTGGGACATCTGCTCACCATATCTGAAGCGGGGAATGATAAGCTTTTACAGCATTGCCAGAAAAATCAAAAGCGCTTCACCTGTCACCGCATACAACGGATGTTAAAGAAGAAGGAAGGAAACGAGGAAGTGGCACAACCCGAACCCGAAACCGACGAACCTGAGGCCGCACGAATAGCAGCGATCTCTTTAGTACAGAAAGATCACTTTGTACGAGCTCGGCCGGTGCTATGGAAAAGCGCAGAGTGTGATTGCGAGGTTTGGGGCAAGTCGTTTAACGCTCTTATCGACACAGGGTCTTCTGCAGTAGCCATATCATTAGACACTGTTAGAAAGACGGAACGACTCGGATCCATTCTTCCTCAATCTGGCAAAGACAATTATGTCTCCGCCGACGAGGAAGCAATGAATATCGTAGGCATTATTGAAAACGTGGCTGTAAAGGTTGAACGAGTACACGTCCTCGTCAACGTGCTCGTGATAGATGTGCGCTCCTATTCTGTACTACTAGGATTGCCTTGGGCGATGGCGGTGGGCGCACGATTGCATTTCGATTCGAAACAACTGGTGTTCACTCAAACTCGGGGAAAGCCTCAAACTGTTCCTTTGCGAATTTTCACCCGAACGATAAAACGAACCCTTTACTCGGCCCAAATAGGGATGATTAGATACATTAATCCCGAGGAGTGTTCTTCCTCTGATATTGATACTGGAATCAGGGAACAGGAATACGAAGAAGAGCTGCCTGGTGAAGATGAATGGAAGCACCTGGTTGAACTGTTCGAACACGAAATTCCCGAAGAATTCCAAGTGCGCCCCGACCCTACTCGAAGCTTCCACGTGGATTCAGGAGACAGCGCGCTTGCGCCTCCGATAACTCAAGCTAGTCCTTCGGTCCTGCTTGGGGAACCTATATTACAAGTATCTGACCTGGCCGATGATTCGGAACCCCCTCGCACCTTGTACGAAGGAGCTCTCTCCTTACGAACCCGTTATCAGCAAACGGAACAATATTTGGATGTTTCCGTTTTTCCGCCCAGAACGTTACTAGCGACAGGAGCCACCATCGCTTTGATTAAACAAGAGGCGGAAGCACCGGTAAGTGATGTACCTGATCTGATGCAGGAAATGACGGATCTAACGGGGCTAACTGTGGAGCCAACCTCGGTAGGTTCAGAGACTGATGCCGAAACTAAAGAAACAGAGATGATTAGCCCCGTTGAGTCCTAGATGATAGCCACAGTCTTCTCTGTTCCCACCAATAGTTTCGTTTTCTCTAGTGTCTATGATCGACGGGAACGGCCGGTCGATTGGGTCGATCTACCCCTTAAGATTTCTGGGGAATCAACAATTACCCTACCGAGTCATGTTCCCGCGGAACTTCGAAAGTCGTTAATCTGTGTGTTAAATGGTTACACAGAAGTATTGAGCATACACGATAATGACATCGGCTTAACTAATGTGATCGAGCATGCCATTCTCACGGGAGACCATCCACCCATTAGCTGCGTTCCTTGCCGATACTCGCCAGCTCAAAGAGCGGCCACTTTTCAGCGGATTAAAGAATTTGAAGGTCATGGATGGATCGAACCCGCCATAGGTCCCTGGTCTTTTCCCGTAGTAATCGTGTCGAAAAAGGCCGGAGGGATTCGCATTTGCATTGATTATCGAAAGTTGAATGATCTCACGATCAAAGATGTGTACCCCCTCCCCCGGATTGATGAATTGTTGGATGCGATTGGGAGTGCTCGATTTTTCAACAAGTTTGATGTTCGCCATGGGTTCCATCATCTTCTTGTTCGAAAAGAAGATCATCCGAAAACAACGTTTGTACTTTTCGAGGGCACGTGGCAGTGAATTCAATGTCCAATGGGTATCTGCAACGCCCCCGCGACCTTTCAACGGGCCATGAACATGACTTTTCATAATTTCGTGAGAAAGACTCGTTTGGCACAGAGCATCATCAACTACTGCGTGATTGTGTACATGAATGATATTTTGGTGTACTCGAGTTCCTACGAGGGACACGTGCAACACATCGAATGGGCACTGCACGCGTTACGAGATGCGGGTTTCAAGGTGGCGCTTGAGAAGTGTCATTTTTTTCTCACCACCATTTCCTTCCTGGGGCACGTGGTGACAGACAAGGGACTTCAGCCGGAGCCACAAAAGGTGGAAGTTGTCAGGGATGCGCCGGTGCCTACAACCAGGGTTGTCAACCCCCGGGCCCGGGTCTCGGGGGTTGGGGATCGGCACCCCCGGCCCCGAAAAAAAAAAACGCAAAAAATAAAAATAAAAATAAATTGAAATAAAAATCGAAAAAAAAATAAAAAAAATCGGGGGGTGCGCACTGATGTCGCGCATCCCCTGGCAATTTCTGTTTTTTCCAGAAATTGGGGGTCCTCCCCCCCCCCCC